AGGAAGTAGACAATTGGCAAAGGAAGAAGTAGAGCGCCGTGTCGGGAATGGAGCAAAAGTTGCTGCATTGACCGTCGAGACTTATGATCTGACTTTACCTTCTCACCTTGTATTGAAGTTGTATGATTGTTATTTTGTACCTGCCATCAGTAGGAACATCATATCGATTTCATGCTTAGACTCAGATGGTTTCAGATTTGTTATTGAGAACAAATGTCTGTCCATTTATAGAGGCGATTTATTCTATGGTAAGGGTTACCAGTTTAATGGCCTTTATATTTTGGAAGATGAACCATCTGGATACAGGTCGATCTATAATGTTAGTACCAAGCGGTTTAAACCGAACGACTTAAATCCGACCTATCTCTGGCATTGTCGACATTGCCACATCAACGAGAAACGCATAGCGAAGCTTCATTCTGATGGACTTCTTGATTCTTTTGATTATGAGTCAATTGAATCGTGCGATTCTTGTTTGATGGGCAAGATGACAAAATCAGTAGGTACGGTTATGTCTACTTGATGAGACATAAGTCTGAAACGCTTGAATTATTCAAGAATTTCAGAAATGAGGTACAGAACCAACTTGGCAAGACGATCAAGTTGCTTCGATCTGATCGAGGTGGTGAGTATATGAGCCAAGAGTTCACTGACTATCTGGCAGATTGTGGGATTGTCTCACAGCTGACTCCACCTGGAACGCCACAGTGGAATGGCGTGTCTGAGAGGAGAAACCGAACCCTATTAGATATGGTGCGGTCTATGATGAGTCAGGTCGATCTTCCTAAATCCTTCTGGGGATATGCTTTGGAAACAACATCGCTTATACTGAACAACTGTCCAACAAAGTCGGTTCACAAGACTCCATATGAGATATGGACTGGGAAGCGTCCCAGGTTAGCATTCATGAGGATTTGGGGATGTGACGTTTACGTGAAACGTCTGGCTTCTGATAAGCTATCCGCCAAGTCTGATAAATGCATATTTGTGGGTTACCCTAAGGAAACTAAAGGGTACTGGTTCTACAACCCATCCGAGAACAAAGTGTTTGTTGCTCGGAATGGATCTTTCTTGAAGAAAGAGTTCGTCTCCAAGAGAGTCAGTGGGAGTAGAATAGATCTCGAAGAAGTTCGAGAACCACAAATAGTCGAAGAATCGAGTGAACAGGTCGAAACAGTTCAACCTGTATCACAAGTTGTTGAGACAACACCTCCTAGTGAACCTCAAAGATCTGGTAGAATTCGCCAAGAGCCTACAAGATACGGATTTCTTGTGACTGGAAATGACGAACTCATGTTGTTAGAACATGACGAGCCTACGTCATATTCAGAGGCTGTGGCGAGTTCCGATTCCGAGAAATGGCACCAGGCCATGGAGTCAGAGATGTAGTCCATGTACGACAATAAAGTATGGACTTTGGTCGACTCATTCGATGGTATTAAGACCATTGGATGCAAATGGGTTTTCAAGAAGAAAACCGACATGGATGGCATCGTGCATACCTATAAGGCACGACTCGTCGCGAAAGGGTTTCGGCAGATTCATGGTATAAACTATGATGAAACCTTTTCACCAGTCGTGATGCTTAAATCCATACGGATTCTGCTGACCATAGCTGCGTATTATGACTACGAGATATGCCAGATGGACGTCAAGACCGCATTCCTTAACAGGAATTTGCTCGAGGATGTGTACATGACAAAACCCGAGGGTTTTGTTGATCCTAAGAGTCCGAGGAAGGTGTGCAAGCTTCAGAGATCCATTTATGGACTAAAGCAGGCTTCGAGGAGCTGGAATCTTCGATTTGACGAGACAGTCAAAAC